ATTGCTTTCCAAGCCCTGAACCAAAAGCACTGCAAAGCTATCTGTTTGCGGAAGGCCACCTGGAGTTTTTACTTTGCTCACATCAATATCCAATGCCCCTAGGCGTTCCTCAATGCTGTCCTGCAGACAAAGAAAAAAGAACAGTTTCAGGGCCATTTCTTAGAAATATCAGCTGAAAGTAAAGTAGCTAATATGTATCATTCCCTCCTATCCTGCTGGAAAATAACACACTGAGAGGATGGCTGGAAAAAGATGAAGTTTTGACTAAGAAGTAGTAATGTATCTTAGCACACAGAGACAGACAAGTGTGTGACAAAGTTTTGCAGTAACGGGCAGATCTGTGGGCAATGTAGTCAGGGCTTCAGTGAGAGTAAGATTTTGACCAAAGCGAAGCCCATTTCCTACAAGAAGACAGTATGATTCACTTTGCCCTCATGCAAACAATGAAGGCAAACAACTCAAGTTCAAATATACCTAAAGAAGCTGCAATAATAATTTATGGTTGCTTTTTAAATGATTGTTGCATTTAAACGAGGAAGCACTTTACCTCTGTCTCTCCTGGTTTCCTTTTGCTTTTCTTTTTCTCCTTTCCTGAGGACGGAGTTTTAACAGCTGCACTGTGTCCTGGAATGCCAGGCACTAGAACTTTGGTGTCTGAGTTCACAACTGGTGTCTTTACCTGGCAGAAAGACAGCAACACATCAGAATAAATTGCCAATATCTCAATCTTCCTTCCAGTTTTAAATACTGATTTTATTCTCACATACGTTAAAACCAGCCTGCCACAACCTATTAGGAAAATGCTACGTGCTACTTCCAGAACACTTCTTTCATAACAGCAGTTCTGTGTCTTTTTGAAGTACCCACCCAGCCCTGTGTACATTATGGGAGCCATGCTGAGTGCCCACTAAAGTGATAGAAATACATATACTGCAGTGAGCATTGCAACTTCCAGATGATGTGCGTACAAGTCATATTCCACAAATAAAAAATTGATTTCACGGTTCAAGAACTTTACTGGAGAAAAATAGTAAAATTAAAATACTACTCACTTCGCTCAATACACAAATCATCACTTTTCTCTCCACAAGGCATGCTCAGACAGCCAAGAGAAATGAGTCTTCACTGGAATTCAGCAAAAAGCGAAACCAAGATGGAGATCATCACTGCATGCCAGGGAGCTCCCACATCTCTCACTGCATCTCAGCTCTGTTACCCTCCAGCTCCAGGACCAGGGAATTAGCACAAAGCTCCACCAGGCTGATGGAGCACCAGAACTGGTAGCTAACCTGAGGGTTAGAAAACCAATGCTGTCTGCTCTCTATACCAATGTTGTCAGCTGTGACATGAGCTACAGGAAGGTAACCAAGGGAAGGCCTATCAGTGCACACAGCAGCCAAGGGCTGTGGGTCTCTGAAACTACACTGCAGCTCTGAACAGGTTCATTCAGAAATCAAAATTTATTTTAGAAGATAGCAGAGAATTCTAAAATTTCCAAAGTAAATCAAGAGATGCAAGACTACTGTATTTCACACAAGCTCACCTTTGTTACAGCATCATCTGTTTTAAGCGCCAACACTTTCTGGACATCCCTTATCAAACATATGTGGGATTCATTGGTGTTCAAAGACTGGAAGGACAGGAATAAAAACAGTTAACTGCCAATGAATCACAGTGGTGATTCATCAAACTACTACGTTCATGAGAACAAACTCCAGAGGTACAAACAAGAATGAGCTTCTTATCCTCCCCTAGAGTAGCAGTTGCTTTGCATGTCTGCCTTTTGTTACCAGATCCCTGTGCTCTGCCGAGAAGCTCACACAGGCAAATTGAAAGATTTAGAAAGTTTCAATGGCCTAATGTATTTGTAGCTGAGACAGCATGAAACAGCCAGCAATAATGCCAAGTTACACTTTAACTGAATGAGCAGAATGCACATCCCCTTTCTAACCAAATCAAGGGCAGTAGTCATAACTCCCAGAGAAGGGAGACAGAGTAAGTTCAATCTCACGCTGCAACTTCAAAAGAGTAAGAAATCCAAAACCTTTCCAATATGTTTTACATACCACTTTCTCTATGATGGGCTGTAAGGTGTTTCCATACACAAGCAGCAGAGACTGTTTGTCTGTGCAAAATGCAGCCGCTAGAATAGGGACTGGTTTTGGCGTGGAGTCTCCATCATTCCCAGGCGTTGCTATCTGGATAGTACAGTTTGATGTTAAAGGTTTTTTGCAGTAGCTGAGGGGGGCGGGGGGGAAAAGGAAAGAAAAACAACAGCACGTTTAGCTTAAAGACTTCCACATCTTGCACAAGTATGCACCCTTCATTATCAAATCCTTCAACTCTAGTAGTTTACATCCTTTACAGATAGTTTAAACAAGGTTAAACCAGGCAAAATCTTGGCTAAAGCAACAGGTACTAACAAAGTACAGCATAACCCCCAACAAATAAGCTCTCCTGCATTTCTTGAAACACATGTCAAGTAACCCAAGACAAAGAATCAGCTGGAATTCAATTTGTGAACAGATGAGTTCAAAGGCAGCAGCACAACAAAATGAGCTTTGCCTCCCAGTAACCCCAGACCTTGCCAAATATACTTTCAGAAGGAATACCTCCTTACCCATTTAAGATGTGTTCAAATAAATGCAACTGCCCATCTCTGCAAACAACTGCTAACTTCACAGGCTGAAAGAAGTCACAATAGAAGATTTTGATTAGATCAAACGACAGACATCCACACGTACAAGACATCAAGAGACATCTGCAGGTTACAATTTGGCTCTTTACAGCAACTACATACTTTAGAGATACAACTAAATCCATAGAATTAGATCAGACACATCTCAGGAACATTTATAGCGGTTAGAAAACAAAAACAATTCAAATCTGTGCTTTACTGTATCAATATTGAAATATTCAAATCCGAACAGCTTGGTTACTAGCAGACATGAGTATAAGCAGCAATGTTCCAAAACTATAGTACCCAAGGTGTCTAGATGCACTGCACTACACAGGCACTGACACAATAAATACATTCACAGGAAAGAAACTAAAACAGAGTACGCTGAGCAGTTAAATTCCAGGTGCACATCACAGAATAATCCCAGCTCCTACACATGCAGTGAGAGGGCACAAATGGAAACGTTAGGAATTATAGCATGAAATACTCTTTTTATAAAGGAATCTAAAGGTAATTGGAGAAAAATATTTTAAGTAATACAGAAATGATTTGAGAACATTTCATATGCAGACACTTTTCATAAGACAACTATTCTGAAACTTCTTGCTGAAAAAGAGACTTGGGGAATGTGCTCAGCTACATAAATTCATAAAGGCTAGTTAATTCAAAACACAGTTATATTACCATAGCCACTTGAGAATAGACAAAAAAACAGAACCATGCTCAAATTGTATTTCAGAAAGAAATCTTCACTGGTTTTTACTACGGAAATCTAAGAAACATTTTGATTACTAAATTGTTCCAAATAGGAAACAAATTATGTTTCTGCCATCACAAGCAAAATTTTTGAAGGAAACATGGAATTTGCACTTAGTAGCTATGAAAATAATTGTTTCAAATTGCCAGTTACACAAGTGCACCTATAATAAATATCCTCACGCTACTGAACTTGCATTCACATCTCATCTTTGCATAACAGAAACCAAATACAAACCAAACTTTTTTTTTTTTAATGCCCTAAAAGGAACTTGGTGTGAAATTGTTGGACATATCTGGTTACAAACTATTGCTCCTACCTCTTCTTTGAGTTCTGACACAGTCAGGTCAATAAACGTTGGTTCATCTGTTACCGTGAAAGACATCACAGCATTCTTTTCTTTCCTATCTGATCTGATCTGCCTGGAGACACAAACAGCACACATTAACATTATTTAACAGAGCACAGACAGCATGCTCCACATCTGAAAAGCAGCAGAGTGTTATAGAGCCTACAAATCATGCTCTACTATTGTCACTATCACGCTACTACACACCTCAGCCAAAAATACTAATGTCATAATTGCAGCTTTCAGTTTTAAAAGGTGTTCTAAATTTCAAATGCAAAGTAACCACTAAGCAAAATTCAGCAAAGAAGAAAACAAACTTCATAGCAAATACAAAGAACAAGAAGCATACCACGCACTACATTCCTAGCATATGCTGAGAAAGTCAAGTGGCAGCTACTGGAAACACGCTCAGACACAGCCAAGGAAATTTAGGTCTTCATTCAACAATCAGTGAATTGAAACCACTACTTAAGAGGTCATCACTGCATTTTTCCAGAGTGCCCCTTCTGCTTCATCGGAATTCAGAATATAATTGTTCAGTCTATCCTCAGTAACAGTCATAATCAAAGTTAAAAATTAAGAAAAGTTTACATACCAAACACTCAGTAACCGGTCATGTATAGCCCCAGACAAGAAATAAAGTCCTGTAATTCCATCAAAGGCCTTATTTTCATTCATAGGTTTCACTGTGGTAAACATTAATGATGACACTGATGTAGCATGGCCTGTGAAATGCTAAGAGAATGGGGGGGAAATTCAATTACTGCCATCAACAGCTGTATGACAAAAGTTAAAACATTAGTTAAGAAAGAATGTTAAGAAAGATCCAAGTTAGCAAGAGTATTTCAGTGTTTTTTCTGTTTCTTTAATAGGTGATCAGCTTCCTTACATTTCTATATGTCTCAAAAATATTTCCTGACACTTCATCTACTTATCAGAATTTAAAGTTTAATGGGGAATCAAAGGCAAAATTACTGGAACTAAGTAAAGTAGTTGGGAAGAAATCACACCTGCCTGTACAGAGTTTAGCTAAGAGACCTAAAGGCTTTAAAGAGATGCTCACCACGAGGGTACAGGAGCTCTCACAAAAATACATCAGCAGAAACTAATAGTGAAGTGAACCAAGCTCCCCAGGAGAAGGGCTTCAGAAAGGGACAGTGAAAGAGAACAACACCTATCCTTATGCTACAGGATCCAGAAAGGCTGCTGGCAGCATTCTCAGACACAGCCAAGGAATTCAACGTCCTCATTCAACTGTCAGGAAGTTGAAACCACAGTTGAAGGTATCATCACAGAAATAACTTCCAGCAGCCCCAAAGATGCCAGCTCCTTCCACTCTACCAAATTTTCAGATGTCCTATTAGGAAACACTAAATGCATAAGAATATATACATATATATATTTTTGATGCCTAGTCATACGAAGTTACTTACTCTGTAGACTTCTTTGGTCTCCAGGTCCCACAGTTTTATAGTTCTACCGGCTGACAGCAGCATTTTTCCATCTGGACTGATGCACAAAGAGCTGACACTGCTATTGTCACCTTTCCACTTGCTAGAATTTGGATAGAGACATAGAGAAGATATTTATTAGCATAACTTCAAAATGCATAACTCTGCTAGATAATCTAAGGCAAAATGTACTTTAAAAAAAGGCCACGTAGTCAAAAATTAGGTCAAAAATTATTCTGTTTCAGCTCCTCAATTTCAAATTAGTTTACTCAAAAAAAAGAAATAAGACTCCTTTTTTTCTTTTTGTTTGTTTTGTTTGCTGTTGTTTAAAAAATACATATGTGCTTACCCTATTCTCAATATCCCCTCCTCAAAGTTCTCTACTACTCATGATCAGACAAGAGGAGCCACACCATTAAGACTTCTCTTGGAACCATAATCCACAAAGCTTCCATCAACTTATTCAGAATGGACTTTGGAGTTTTAAGGCCCACCCAGTTCCTGGCACTCCTAAGTCTGTCAGTGACACTGACAGTAATAAACTTGGCCTCAAAGGTTTAAGAACTCCACCGTTGAAAGCACTAAGAAAAAGAAAGATGCTGTCGTGGAAAGCTTGCACCCGCTTAGAAAGAGTCTGAGTATTGCATATTTCTAAGAGGACAAAACTAAAAGGCAATCCTTAACACAAACCCTCTATACATAATAATCACGACCCAATCACCACGTTCTGATTGTGAACAGCCCCTTCTTAAATACTTCCTGAGACCTTTTTTATGCCACGCAGCACCTCTTCTGTCTTCCACAAGTGAGCTCATTTGCACCATCACCTCTGGCTAGATTTCATAGAAGCTGCAAGTTTCACTAGCTACAAACCTTGCAAACAACATTACACCTTTACACAGAGTGTAACAAAATTCTGTATTCTCTTCTAAAGTGTAAGTCAGGACTAGGAATTTCAGATCGATATCCATTTAATGTAGCAAACCCAAGAAATTATATTCAAATGTACAACTAGCTGGTCTTTAAGGTCCCTTCCAACCCAAGCCATTGCATGATTCTATGATTCCAATGTCTTTTATCTCAGGTATGACTTGCAATACACGACTTCTGATGTGACTTCTGGTAAAAAGTGCGATATTATAATGTCAGCATACTCTTTATTTTTGCACTCCAATAATGATAGTTTTTCATTGCCATCTTCAAAATTAGAGAACACAACGCCTCTAACAGGCAGTTCATACACCAAATCTAAGAGTACTTCTTGGCATTTTCCTAAGCAATTACTGCATTGCAACTGAAAACAAGAACTGCCACAAAGTATCCTTACAGTCAAACTTTGAGCAGTTTGTAGGTGGCGTTCTGCTCAATTCCATGGAGAAGACTCACATAGGAGTAGGCATGTCCCATACATAAACACCTCTTTGGCTGTCTTGTGTAACCACAGGACTCTTCCAGCTACAAGGACTGCTGAGGGGAGACAACATTTATCTTGCAAAGCAGGACAAGAGCAATTTTGTCCACAGGCTTGCTAACCTAGCAAAGAGGGAATTAACCTAGTATTGGTGTAAGACAAGAACAATAACCAGTCACAAAAGTGGGGGTATAAGGCAATGCGGAGGGAAACACCCAGGGTGAAGAGCAACAAGAGAAGTTCTCACATTTCACGAGACAACAGCATGGCTGGGACCCATCTCAAGTGGCTGTGCATGAACACACGCTCTATGAGAGACAAACAGGATGAGCTAGATATCCATGAGGAGCTTGGCAGTTTTGATCTTACTAGAGATCATAGAGAACCAGTGGGTAGAATGTAAGACAGGAATACTGTAGTTAATGGACTTTTAGGAAGGCTGTTTAGTGAAGACATGTCAGGAAGGCGCGAGGAGGAGGTGGTTTTCTCTACACATCAAGGTGGCTTTCAGTGCATGAAGCTTTGCTTTGAAACACGCCAAGAGCCAGTGAAGAACTTACAGGTATGCATTAGAAGAGGCCAACAAGGATGACGTGCTAGGCACCTGCTACAGAGCAAGACAAACAGCAGAATTACAACTCTGGTCTTCATAAAAGCAGACTGCCACTTATACAAGGACCTGATGGGCAATATTCCACTGGAGACTGCTAAGAAGAGCAAAAGGTGCTCAGGAAAGCTGGTTGCTGTTCTAGGATAACCATCTTAAAGCACAAGAATGGCACACACCAACACGAAGAAAATCAACAGGTGTTGCCCTGGCATGCAGGAAAGCTGAAGGGGTCAGCTGGATGTTCAGACCAGCAAGAAATACAAAGGCCAACAAAAAGGAGATCTAATGGCACATCAGCAGCAGTAAGGTTAGGATTGAGAAATGTGTGGGCCCAGTGCTGAATGGTGTAGGGATCTGTTCAGCACACAGAAAAAGCCACACCACAGAAGAGCAAGGACTGCTCTCAGACCTCCCATGTTCCCAAACCCAGTGCAAGAATCAGAGGGAGCAGAACATTATCCATAAAGATAGGTAAAAATCAGGAATCACAACAGCAAGTTGTTCACACATGCAGCCTCTAAGATGGAATGGAATGCACCAAAAACATTTCAGTCGGTGATGTTGTGAGACCACCCCATCATCTCTCAGTGGCTGCACTGTTTAGGAGAAATTTCTGTTGACTTGGAAAAAAAAAGACAAACCTATAAAGACAAATCTACCTGCAAAAAGAATATAGGAAATGAGAGGAAGGATTATACACAGCAAATCCACCTGGTAAAGATTTCCAAATATACAAAGGTCAGAAAAGCGACTGGAAACAGCAATCAGACTTAAAAAGGGAAAATCATCCCCAACTAACCTGCCTTTGATGACACACACTGTACACTATTTACATTGAATTTAGCAGTGCTTCTGACAACGTCTCACATTAGACTATGTAATTCCAGTTTGGCTGCAAGGATACTAACTGAATGGACTCCAAGGTAGGATAAGAACTGCATGGAACACTGAGCTCAAACGCCTGCAATCACTGCCACGAAGTCTAACTGATGGCCAGTTACTGGTGTCATTCCCCAAGGACATTCCAACTCCATTCAACCTCAGTGTTTGCTCAGGTCTTCGCAAATGACCTTGAAAATATGACAGTATGCATCCACTAGCAAGTTCACTGGCATTAAGAAATTAGGGAGATCAGCTGATCAATATGCTGGAGGGCAGAGCTGCTCACCTCAACAAGCAGGGGAAATAGGCAGTCAAATCTCCAAGATGAAAGGATTAGGTAAAGCAGTCTTCACATGTGCCAGAAAAAAAAAATAATCTCATATGGGCTGGATTCAAATGGTGAAAAAACATATTAGCAACAAAAGAGGTGGGGATCCTTATAGTCCATTTTAACATGAGTTAGTAGTGAGTACTTACGGCAATGAGGTCAACTGCATGCTGACCTCTACCAGCTAGAACATGGCCAGTACATCAAAGAAAATGATTTCCCTTTTCTGTGCAACACTTCTGAAACTACACCTGAGCACTGCATCCAGTTTGGAGAAGCTACTGACACACTGCAATCAATCCAGTGAAGGATCACAAAGAAGGTATGGAGGCTGGAGTGTAAGGAGGAAAGAGTGATGGAAACAGGTTCCTTCACACCCAAGAAGAGTAGGCTAATGGGAGATCTTATCATCACCTTTTGCTATTTTGCATCAGGGTCTAAACATAAGGACACCTTTCCTCCCTAAGGAAATTGACGAGGTTACTGGCAATGGTCTGTCTGCAATACCCAAACACCTTCAGCAAAATCTGTTAAAATGCTGAAATAACACAATAGGGAAATCTTACAAAAAAAACCACCAAAAACAACAGAAGATAAGGGTCAAAGTGCCATCACATACCAGACTTTCACTAAGTTAAGGTAACCAGAATCACTAACAGAAGATTTAGTTTCCTAGAGCTTAAAATAAAAGATTGACTGTACTGAAAAAGAAAGCAAATACCTACCCTAGACAACTTGTTAACTCAGCACTAAGTTTTTTGTTTGGCTCAACAGTAGTTTAAATGGCAGCAGCCTGCTCAGACAGCCAAGTGGAATTGTCCCCACTGCAGATCAGTAGTGAGCGAAACCAATTGGGTATCATCACAGCTAGGCCCTTGGGGCTAAGTCAGGTGTGCACAGCAGATCTAACCGGGATGAGGTGTCCTAGCATCTGCCTTCCCCACACTCCCAAGGATATTTCTAAGAATGTGGATTTTCAGTCTCTGAAAAGCAGCTGGAAGCCCACATCTCACTAAGAGTTAGCATGGAGAGACTCACGTCCCTCTTAGCAGCTAAGCACTGTATTTCATCCTTCCAACACACAGAGGAAGAAATCCAACTATAAGATTTACTCTTTTATCCCTTAATCAAACCACTTTAAAGTAGTAACTAACCGGTAATTTAGTACAGCAAGCATGAAGCCTGCACAGCAGAGTGCAGCATTTCCAACAGCACAACACTACCACCTGTAAAGGAGGAAATACACAAAAGCAAGCGACAACAAATCAGAGCAAGAGGATCACTCACCACTTTACTTTGCAGGTCTGTGTGTTCCATTCCACAATGTGTTTGTCTTCTGAACAGCTATACAAGCAGCAGTTGTCCTGATGCCACCTCACACAATTTATTCTACTGTCATGACCACCATCCTACAAAACATAAGAGAGGGTCACTTACGAATAAAGAGGTATTGCTAATGAGTCTTCTCACATCAACACCGTGAACAAAGTGCTCTTTCAAGAAATGAATTCAAATCATTGATACCTCAAAGAGGAGTGCATAGCAGGCAACTTGTTTTGTGCTTTTTACAAGCAGTACGCATACAGAACTGCAAATTAAAGATACTTCATATTTTCACCTGTACATGTATTTAATTATTGTTCTAGTACTTCAGTTAACAAAAAGTTGTCCTGCACACTACTGACAAACACAGCCAAAGCTGGCGAGCAGTAGCACCGTTAGCATAGGTATCTTGATAATATTTATCTAAGTGCCTGCTTGCTTAAGTCCAATCAGGATGTACAGAAGAACCCACCAGTGCAACAGCTTAACAAGAGCTGATGAATATTTCAATCCTACCCTCTCCTCCCGTAGCCCTGGAGAGGCACAGGGGATGATATGCCCATGGAGAACTTAATTGTTCAGTTAGACACGTCATCATTATGAACATATCTGATGTAAAATAACAAATCCACACACAATGTTAGGATACTGCCAAACCAAGAGGTCTCAAAGCGTACATATTGCCAACAACAGAAGTACCAAAGATTCCCAAGAATCTAAACTATTGCAATTCTATTCATCTATGTAGCCATTAGGAAAAAAAGATCTGATTAACTAGGTCAGTTTAGCCCATTTTTAAGCAACAGAAAGAATAGCACAAGCTGACTGAAACCATCGCTATTCGGCAGCATGTGATGATGAGTGCGTAACTTACTAGCTTGCTTTGTAATTCTCCTTTTACTGTGCTGTACAACAAAATGCTACCAACTGCTGTGCCAATAGCCAGGATATCTAACTGCTTGTCCACCCCTGTAGCTTCAGACTTCCGTTTTTTCCTCTGGGGGCCATCCTGCAAAACAGAGAAGAAAAAAAATGGAACGAATTAGTTTGACCTGTTATTCTTAAGCGCTAAAGCAGGGGGAAGAAATCTCTCCAAGTCTGAGATCCAGTCAGCCAGCACAAATTCTGCTAAGACACAAGATGTAGACGTGGCAATTTAGAGGTTCATCTTATACCTCCATGTACAAAGTAGCAAAGTTGCCGAGTCTCTTGGAAATACTCAATAGAGGCCATTTTGCTAACTTAGTGACCACACATGGAGGGAAAAACATTTGTTTTTCAGAGTTCACTTCCCAGGGGCAGAGGTAAAGATTAAACATGACCAAATTTTTTCATTCCCAGAACAGAAATGTATGTTAAGTTTTATTAGGAACCACCAGTTTACCATCAGTCTTGCAATACTAAGTAACTGTAATGCCTCTTAAAGAGAAAGTGCGACCACACCAGACAGAGAGAAGAAACAGGAATTGAAACTATGTCATCTATCCTAGTCCTGGAATCAATTACGAGGGGTCTTCCTACTACCTATCAGGCAATTTTCAAGTCTGCACCCACCTGCTTTGCAAGGGATACCGACTACTTTGATAAAGAATTTCATCTTGCTTAACCAAATGCATGCAGAACTTGAGTAAAACAAAGGCAGAAGAAACAGCTACGCTTATTATGACTGGGTAAACCCAAGTAATTAATCACAAAAATGAAATGGCTAATTCAGGTTGGATATTAGGAAACATTTCTTCTCCAATAGGGTGGTGAGGCAGTGGCACAGTCACCATCCCTGGAGGTGTTGATGAACCATGGGGATGAGGCCCTGAGAGACATGGTCAGCAGGCATGGCAGGGGTGGGCTGACAGTTGGACATGATGATCTCAGGAGACTTTTCCAACCTTAATGATTCTGTGATTCTCATCTGTCATATAATATGCATCATATAACGTACATAATTTCTACAGGCCCAGAGATATAATAGCTACCAGGCTTTGGGAGTTTTCAGCAAATTAAAACTAAAAGCTTTAACAGCGCAGGGTAAATAGTCTCACTGTTTGAAGAAGTAGAGCTTTCTTTTCCTACATATTTAACACACACACTTTTCCCATCTGCAAGGAAATTGGTTTTGTTCGAAGCCAATAAATGCAAATGTGCTGTATTGCTTGTTAAAAACAGCAGTGGGCTCTAGAGGAAAGTAAGGACTTTGGTTTTTGCAAGGATTTGTTTAGGCTTCATCTTCCCTGGGAAAGAAAAGTGTTTACAAAAAAAGAAATGAAAACATAAGTGCTGAGAAATCACCACAGTTACAAAGCACAACTAATTAATCAACCAGGTTTTAAGATAATATAAGGAGACTCATGCACTGAAACAACTTGTTAAATTTCTGGCAGCAGTGCCAACTAAGCCATCTCAAAACAGTTGTTAGAAATGCAAAGACAGGGACCACATTGCCATCGGAGACGTAAGCACAGCTTAAACGTTTTCAGAGACTTTTCAAAATCCGTATATCTAGTTTATTAATTATTGCTCCCAATCAAGACTGGGAATCAAGACCACAATTAAGAACAGATTTTGTTCTTGTCCCTTGAATAGAGCTTTTAATTAAAGCTCATTCAATCTCCATATGGTTCGTTATGACTGATTTCCCTTAAAGCAAACCAAAGGCATCAGTGAGTGTAACAAGGTCCTGCTGAGGTCCACAGCACTACCAGAGTTATGAAGAAAATAGGGGTAGTGAAGTTTTCTCCAATTACTTTTCTTACATCCATTTCTTTAGTGAACAGTCTTCATCAGCACTATTAGTGGGATGTTCTGTCTGAAGTTTTTGCTTGAAGGAAGCATCAATGGAAAATTCAGACCTATTCATGCTAGAAGGGAACTCCAAAGAAGCACCTAGCTCTCATGGAGAGGACAGAGCAGCTGAAGTGTATCAAGCATCAGCTTCTTTTGAACATTTTCAGATTTATGGAAACTTAAACTTACTTAAAAATACTGAAAAAGCTTAGCTCTAATTAGCAGAGATAGGTTATTTGCAAAAGAGAATTTTAGCAACATTCTTTCTTGTGCAGGGCAGCTGCTGAGAACCAGACTTTTCTTCTAATTAACAGAAATCTCATCTCTCTTGCTAACATGTGAAGTAAAGCTCTTAAAAGCCTTAAGAGCTGAAGATGACAGAACAGCTGCAACTTACTAGGAAGGAGATGGAAGAAACTACTTTGAAAGTTAGTGGTCCATACACTCTTGCAAAAGACACCACTTGGTGGGAGGGGAGGTGGTGAACAGGACAAGCAGGAAGCACTAAGGCTGCAAAAGCACGTGTGCAGAGAGCACGCCAGTAAGTCACCACTGCATCAGCAATTCCAGGGCCTGGAGTTCAACACTGCACTCCTCATGCTCCCCTCTGAACACCTGGCCTGCATCAACACAGCAGCAGCCCAGAACACAGTTGAGGTGTAACCTGACAAAACACCAGGCATCTACTGGCATGGTTTTACTCCTGCACACCAGGTACTACTGCTACTTGGAGACATCATGTTTCAGCAAAAAGAATAAGAACTAAACAATGCCATAGGAAAAAGCAGAGGAAGTCAAAGCTTGCCTGATGAAATCCCTTTTGCATACAACCCTAAAAACAGCTACGTTGGAGCATCTGTAGACTTTAGGGGTGGCTGTCTAAAGTGAGCTTAATGTTTAAAAGCCACTGAAAACCACCTGTGCTTGACCTAAAGCAGTGCAGTACATCAGGCTTTGAAGCTGCACTGCACACAGCAGAGGTGAGCACCAGTTTCAGTTTCTGTTAACCTGGTCAGCCTTCCATTAATGCACGCATCTTTTTTTCCTTCCAAACTGAATTAAAAAGAAGCAAGGAAGAAGCCAATCTGAAATTAGTTATTTGTTCCACTTTGTAAAGCTCGTGTATTAAGCTGCTCAAGTGCCAAAAATGGGGCAACGCAGCCTTCCTTTGGGTGGGCAATCTGAGTGCACAGAGCACTTCAAGATACCTGTTGCAGTATTTCCAACAAGCTTTTACCGAAACACACTGAACTCACCGCTTTTTGGGGCAAACGGGGCGTACCGCACAAACCCATCCCAGGGACGCACCTTGCTCAGGAAGCTGCGTGTTACAGCGAGCAAGGTAAGGACTACCTCGATATAAACGAGCCCGAAAAAGTGGTTTAACGCGTGTAGCACAGAGGCTTTCAGCTGGAGCGTCCCAGCGAGCTTTACTGGAAGGCGGGGATCCGCCGAGGTGCGCGGAGGAGCTGCTGAGCGCAGAGCGCGGGGTCCCGAGGAGGGGAGAGGAGCCAGGCTGCGTGCCACGAGCCTGGCTGCTGCTGCAGGGCGCGCTCCTTCCGCGCAGGGAACGCGAACGGCAAACGGGTTTCGCCATCAGTGCTTTGGCCGAGAGCGCTTTCAGTTCATTTAGAAGAGAAAATCAAAAAAGAGAGCGCGATGCGCCGCGCTCCCCGCCACCAGGTGGGCTTTCCGTCCCGAGCAGCCGCCCCACACGTGGCGCGGGGCCGCCCGGTCCCGTTGGCGCTGCCGGGCCCCACCGCATGGCGCCGGGAGGGCGGGGTGAAGCGGCGCGGCCGCACGTCGAGGCCGCGCGGGGCACGGGCGCTCCTCCCGCGGATCCCTTCCCCCCGATCCGCCCCGTACCTTGTCGGGGGGCGGCCGTCCCCCCGGCGGGGCCCAGGCCAGGCAGGTGCAGGCGGCGCTGAGGTGCGCGGAGGGCACGTACTCGTGCCGCAGGCGGCTGCCCACCGTGTCCCACACGCGGAGCCTCCCATCCGAGCCGGAGACGGCGAGGAGACGGCGGTCGTGAGGCGAGAAGGCCAAGGGGGGCCGCGCCGCCGCCTCCCCGCCGCACGCTGCCGCCGCCGCCATGGCGCTCCCAGCTCGGCCCTCCGCGCCTGCGCAGCTGCGGCCGCGTGCTCGCCCCGCGCGCCTGCGCCGCGCTCCCCGTGACGCGGCCGGAACGGCGTCATCGCCCAGCGCGCCGCCGGCGGGATGGCGCCTCCCGCCCGGCTCCTCCGGCGGGCCCTTTCCTCTGCGTCCGACGGGCGGGGGCGGAGGCGGGCGTGGGCGGCTTCGCTGTCGCCTCTGGAGAGGCTGAAGCGGCTGCTGCCGCCGGAGGCGGCGGCGGCGGCGGAGCGCTACGCGGAGCCCCGCCCGTCGGCCGCCCCGCGGGCGCCTCCCGAGGAGAAAATGGCGGCGCCGAGCGCTGCGCCCGCCGCGGCGCCTTCCCCGCGGGGACCCGCCGAGGAGAAAATGGCGGCGCGCTCCAGCCCGCTCCGCGCGGGGGAGCTGGCGCTGGCGGAGCTGCGGAGGAAGCACAACGCGACGCTGAAGCTGCTGTGCCGCTTGGAGGCGGGCGCGGTGCTGAACTCGCACGTCGGGCTCCTGCCGCACCGGGACGTCATCGGGCGGCTGCCCGGGCAGCTGCTGCGCTCCTCGGCCGGGGCGCGGCTGCTGCTGAGGCGGCCCTCGCTGGACGAGTACGTGCTGCTGATGCCGCGGGGACCCACCATCGCCTACCCAAAGGTACCGGCGGGCGGTCGCGGGGCCGGGGCGCGCCTCGCCCTCGTTTGGAAGTAACGCGCCGTGCTTTTGTCACCCCTAGGATATCGGTGCCATGCTGATGATGATGGACGTCCACCCAGGTGACGTCGTGTTGGAAAGTGGCAGCGGGTCTGGTGCTCTGAGCTTGTTTCTGTCGAGAGCGGGTAAGGCTCTGCTCTCAGAGATGTAGCACAGTTATCGGAATCGTAGAATCATGGAGATTGAAAAGGGCCTCTAAGATGATCGTGTCCAGCTACTACCCCCACCCTGCCCACTGACCACTCCCTCAGTGCCACATCTGGGCATTTCTGTCACCTCCAGGGGCAGTGGCTCCACCATCTCCCTGGGCAGCCCGTGCCAATTGAAACCACTCTTTCTGAGAAGTTTTTCCTAATACCAAACCTGAACCTCCCCTGGTGCAACCTGAGGTCATCACCTCTTATCCTGTTGCTGTTACCTGCGAGAAGAGGCCGACCCCACCTCACTGCAACCTCCCTTCAGGCAGTTGTAGAGAGTGATAAGGTTTCCCCTGAGCCTCCTCTTCTCCAGACTAAACAATCCCAGCTTCCTCAGCTGCTCCTCATAAGATTTCTGCTCCAGACCCCTCACCAGTTTCGTTGCCCTTCTCTGGACACGCTCCAGGGCATTGAGGTCTTCCTTGTAATAAGAGGCCCAATGCTGAACACAGCACTCGAGGTGTGACCTCACCAGTGCTGAGTACAGGGGGATGATCACCTCTCTGCTCCTGCTGGCTGCTCTATTTCTGATACAACCCAGGATGTCATTGGCCTTCTTGCCCATCTGGTCGCACTGCTGGCTCACATTCAGCTGGCTAACACCCCCAGATACTTTTCCAGCTACTCTGCCCCAAACCTGTAGCTGTGCGTGGGGTTGTTGTGACCAAAGTGCACGGCCCAGTACTTGGCCTTGGTGAAGCTCACAGATTGCCATCAGTCCAACAATCCAGCCTACCCATATCCCTCTGTAAGGCCTTTCCGTCTTCAGGCTGTTCAGTGCTTCCTTATCTTATGTTGCTTTTCTGCTGATTAAACAGTTGTAGTCAACTCTTAAAAAGTTCTGCGGCACTTTTAACATTCACATATACTCTGCTGACTTAAGGAAGTCTGTGCCTGGCCCTGTACAGAATCTATACTTTGACTGTATTTTGAGGGTTGTTGTATAAAGAGTCACCCTCCTGAAAGGTAAATTTTAGTTCTCATTACTGCTGGGTTTCTAGTGCACCAGAGCCTTCCTCCAGTCTCCTTCCTTTCTCAGTTTCCATTTCCTCACTTTGTTGAATGATGTGAATAATGAAAATGTTTATATTGTTTGTTTTTTCATGTAATGAACTAGCCTGCTTTGACTTAGAAAGTGGAGAGCCGTTGCACTCAGTCAAACTGTCATGCCTTTTCATTTGTGCTTGTACTATTTAATGCTATTATCAACTGTCTTGGGGAGGCAGTCTGGCAGAAAGCTGTTCTTCCTCTTTTTGTAGACAGCAGGTTTAGTTTCTTGTCACTTTTGTTCCCTGGCCTGTTCCCTTCCTTTATGAAGAATATTGTGAATTGGACTCATACTGAAGATTTCAAGACAGTAAGCTTATACTTACATAATAAGGCAATTTATTATGGTTATAAACAGTAACCATGTATAAATCAGGAAGTACGCTTGTGAAGCTTGTCTATGGGCTGAGGTCAGTGAGCAGGCCTGGGGATTTTCGTAGCCTTTGCTCAATTCTAAAGGAAAAGATGGGGGAAGAACAGCAAATCTTTATTTAAAAAAGAAATAAAAATTTAAAACCATTGCTTTCAAATCTGCTTTATGGTGTCTAAGGGTAGCGACCTGCATTGCAGCTTTCTCATCTGCTCCCTGGTAGCTGTAGCAGAAGAATCAAGGGTTCACAAGGCCAAAGGTACTCAAGTCATCTTTTCCTGCAGGGAGTTACTTTGCAGGAAGATGTTACATATGTGGTTATTTCCTAAAATGAATTGGAGATTTTGAGGCATATTTCTTGTCACTTGCATTGCTATTTTTTTTCTAAATTACTTATTATGGATGGGAAAATAGTAGTACATCTAGTATTTTGTTGTTGTTGTTTTAAGTTGGGCCCAAAGGACGTGTTATCAGTTATGAAATCAGAGATGACCATCACAACTTAGCAAAGAAGAATTACAGGCATTGGCGCACAACGTGGAAAATAGGACATATGGAAGAGTGGCCAGATAATGTGGATTTCATTCTTAAAGACATCTCAAGAGCTGCTGAGGATATGAAATCTTTAACATTTGATGCAGTAAGTCCAAATAATTCATACATGACATAAATCAACATTTTTTTCCACGTGACTTGAAAACTCTAGTGCTGTCACTTGCAGTGAGATTCCCAGATCTAACTTAACACCAGCTAGCAGATGATCCTGATTTTTTTTTTCCCCACCAGGTTCCAACTACACTTACCCAAACAAAACAGTCAAACTGCAGTAACAAAGGAATAGCAAAATCAATCTTGTCCTTGCCTTGTAAGCAAGGACATACTTACCTGCTTGGATTTTGGAGAAATGCGGAAATTCTTGTATATGAGTAAGGCATAATATTTCAAGCTTTAAATTTAAAGAAATTACACAAGCTTATTGAAAATATGAATATGTACACATTTGGCTATCAGCTGCACAGAATACAGAATGTTTCTAAAAAGCGAAACTAATTACATTAATACTCCAAATGCTAATGTTGTAAAAAGGTTTAAGTGAAGAAACAGAATAGCTAGCATAAAAATACATAATCTTTAAAAACTTTAAATGTAACAGTCCACAGGAAGGATCAAATGCTGCATTTCTCACTGTTTTACCATTTGAATAGTTTTCTACCAAAAAGAAATAAAGGATGGGTAGCTGAGACTAAAGTTTTCTAAACCTTGAAACCAGCAGCAAACTACACATTAAGACTGTAGCCTGATCGTTTCATCACACAGATGCATTTGAACTTGTTAACATTTACAAACAAGATATCCAAAGATGTTAGTAGATGTAGAATTCTAGAAGTTATTAATAATATTACGGAGTTTAATTAGCAGGAGGTTTAACGTTAGTACAGGACTGCCTTGCTGGTGACACGTGACTTCCTCTGGTAATAGAAATTCAGTTGGAAATAGCATGGGCTGGTTTTTATAGATTGGGAAACTCAAGTTTCTCTAAGCTGTTCAGGAGCATTAATAAAACTGCCTTGCTGTAGCATGCATTAATTTTCCATATATGAATGTTGTTTTTCAAGTATTGTTGTAACAAAAAAACATAACTCTCTTGCAGATAGTTCTGGATATGCTTAACCCTCAATCTGCTCTGTCTGTTGTACACCCCAGTCTTAAAGAGGGTGGTGTGTGTGCTGTGTATTTAGCTAAGTAAGTATTTACTTCTGGCACTTCAACATTTATACAGGCATCACCTGAAATTGTTGCTAAACCATGCTCTCCTAAGATACCCATCCAACGCTAATGGAAGTTATATATATATATATTGCATTTTTCATTTATTTCTTTTTTTAGGAGTTGCACTCGGTATAAATCACACTTGTCTACATCCTTTGGTTCCTTCAGAACACTTACTGTGGTCACTGGGAGGTTTTAGTTAATGACATCCTCAAAATAACTATTGTGTTCAATTCAGTAGTCGAGTTGCTAGTTCCTTTATCCTAAAATGGAAGGATGTGCAAAAAACCCAAAGGTAAAGAATATGACAAAGGCAATAGAATTAAGTTTATAATACTAATTGGAGTTCTCAAAATATGCCTTTATCCTTTGCATTTCTTCAAAAGCATCACACAGGTTATAGACCTTTTAGACAGAATACGGACATGCAGGCTCCCTTTTGCCTGTGAAAAGATCGTTGAGGTAACTCATAGAAATTGGTTGGTGCTGCCTGCTAAAATCAAGAATTGCAAATCAAGCCAAAGAGTGGAAACTCAAGAAGATATCGAGGAAGATCCTCAACAGAAAGAATGTGATGAAATCCAAACTCAGGATCAAATAGTTCTTAACGAAGATGAAGGAAATGGTAAGAATAGTACTGTTAATAAGATTCTGTTACTGCAATTTTGATAATCCAAAGATAAAAACCCAGGCTAAACAGAAAATAAATGGCAATCCGCAAATACAGAATGACTGTCCTTCCCTATTGTTTTGAAATTTTTAAATAAAATTCAGTCCTTTTGCTGAGGATCCTGATGGGCTCAAGGATTCCCTATGGAAATGCCACCCATATGTATTCAATTTATACTGTCTTAGCAAGTAAAAAAATATATATATACCACATATAAATATATGATTGCAAAATTCAGTGTAGAGCAAAGAAGTCTGAAAGTACTGATAGATGACAACAAAGCACTTTAAGAGAGGGGAAAAAGAAAATGAACGTGCATTGGTAACTGCAGTCTGATGGGTGCATGTTTTCAAACTCGTTGGAAAGAATTATACAAAAAGATGTACTTCTCACAGAATCATTTCCTGATGATGCTGAAACACACTGCTCAACACCTTACATTGCAAGACCATCTCGTTGGCAGGACGCTCATTCAGGTGAGATACTTGAAAAATGCTTTTATTGTAAATGTTTTATCTTAAAATATTTTCAAAAATAATAACTTCTGTACTAACACTTGACATATCACAAAATCACGAAATTTATAATAAACTAGAAATTCAATACTGAAATAGTAACCTGTTTTGTTTTTCAATTAGCATTCCTCACCAAGCTGAGAAAGTTTCGACCACCACTTTCTTGATGCTGCTGCTGTTAGCTGCTAATCTGAGCGTTGTATCAGAATAAAGAGTTACAAAATAGCTATGTTTTGCAAGTTTTGTAACTTCTAGGTAATTCCTGCTTTGATTTCTACTGCATATCAGACTCTTAAATCCTACTTGCTACTTAAAGGGAAATGTTTTAACAAACAGTCATCATGTATGGCACTGCAGTGCAACACCAATTGTTCTGCAAAGCACAGCCTCTATTTCTTTGTTCAGTGCATTTCATTCTTCATTCCTTGTAAACCAGTCCATGGATTTGTCTTGGTTCGAGGTGTTATCTCTTCTCCTTTTGCTGGACAGGCTCTGACAGTCTACCAGAAATCAGGAGGGGGAAAAAAATTGGTAAGAAAACTTTTGAGATGCTAATGAAGCAGCTTCTGACTTGGCTACATACCAACTGGTTGCTGTTGGGTTCTTTAAGAACAGTGTTTGCACAACTGTAATGGAAACTGAAATTCACTGAACTTGTTCTTTTGATAAAGCTGTGCTCGTTTCTAAGAAAAAATATCAGTTGTTGGTAAGAATAGCTTTGGTTCACTTCCAGCAACTATGCTGAGATCTGCCATGGTATTTATTAGCTTTGCTATGAGGTACTCAAATGGTCAAAACAGACACAGAGCTATAAATTAACTGGAACTTGAAGGTTAATTAACTGAAACTCTAACTCTTTATAAGTAAGTGTACTAAGAACGCTGCGACATGTCTTTGCAGAACTGGGGCCTTAGCACAGGAAGTTTGCATCTTGGGGGTTCCACTCTCAACTATAACAAAACATTAGACACAACTGCTCTGAGTAACAGAGGCTTCTCACGTAAAGGCTCAGGAGACAACTTTGAGTAGTTCCCTGTGTAAAGATTCTATTCTATAAAACAGTTTTTGCAATAAACTCTTACATTCTTTTCCATACATACCCCAACTTTGAAAGAGTATCTTGCATAAATTCTGTCAAAGACAGAGCTGCACTTAAAGGAAACAGATCATCTTATCACACCAAGGATAAAGCGGTCTCTTCTGTGGTTTAAAGGGCAAATACAGCCTCACTTGCCTAAACTAATTCAAAAATATTTGCAGTATTTAACCATACCTTGGGCAGAAGAAGCAGGAGAGTCAACTAGCATTTTTTCAATTGCAAAGGTGTCCTTCAAATCCTGGGATGAACATAACTCTGTCACCTCTAAACTGCTAGTAGATGAGGAGGAAGATGATGATAATCCCAGTCGTACAAATCTTCCTTTCTTACCACAGAGGTAACAGGGGATAGGAGAATTATTAGGTCCTCGTGGCAGCTGTGTTTCATCTTTGTTGTAGTTCCTTATGGCTCCACTGTGGTACACAGAGCGTTCTCGCTGCCATATGTAATGTGTAGGAGCAATAGCCATTACCTACCAGAACGACCATTCCATCAGAAACCGTAAAAATTATTGACAAACATACAGCTGAGAACAAGGGATCCAATTCACGTATAACAAAATTAAGACTAGAGAAGAGGTACCTTGTCTGCCTAGGTTTCACTAGAAGTTTTGCTAACATGGGCAAGAATAAATTGGTTATATTCAGATATTTAAATGTGATAAGTAGAGCATCACAAATATCAATTTATGCTTTGTTTGTTGGACTGAAGTTGTTGTCTTTTACTATTAAACATAAACTAGATGGATCTTCTGGCTCACAAAGTCACTAAGCTTATAACAACTAAGTTGATAGGGTATGCTGTGAAGCACACTCCACTCTTGCCTCATTGCTTATATTTTTCCCATAAGCATCTCATCCCATTCCCAGAGATGAGATGCTGAAGAGATTTTCTTTTCCACCAGCAGTAGTAAACATTATGTTCTTCAAACATAGCAGGGCTTTTTCAGACAGACAGATGTCATCTGGAAAGCAAGGAATGCCTTGTTCCCCCCAGTATGTTTGAAAAATGGAGGTTGTAACAACACATTAACAAAGCATATTAAAAGCATGTCCTTTCTTTTTTGAAATGCAGTGAAAAACCACTGCCTTACAAAGTCTATTAAAGTTACCTTGTTAATTCATAAGAGAGTAAAATTTCACCTGAGTTGCTACTTGAAGGTTTCATTTTGTGTACAAACTTGAAGTTTGTAAGCAAAGATGCATATAAAAATATTTCTACAGTGAATGAGGTTTAGCAGCTAATAATATACTTTAAGCAATATTATTTGCACAAAGCAGAAAGATTCTTATCCTTAAAGCTTGAAACTGTAGCATAACAAAATATCCTAGTTTACCTTAAAGCCATTATTTCTAAGATTGTATTTTGAATGTAGAAGAAAAAAAAAATGATGGAGGAAAAGCTCCATCTTTTCCTTCCCGTGGCTTATCTACTCGCTTTAGAGAAGAAATTGCTAGTGTGGAGCTATACTGTTAATTAGTATTAATTGTTGTAGTTTCAGTGTCTACAGTATTAAAACTGTCCCTACCTCTTCACAGCAACGTCTGCTTACAATAGCCCTGTAGTCAATTCTACTCCATAGATGATCTCTTAACTTTAAGAAATCAGGAAAGAGCTTTCTCCAGTTTTTTCCTAGAGCCCATGGGAAAATCTCATACTTTGATTCTTCATTGTCTTCTTCCACTGTATTTGCCAGATACCTTGAAATATACATATATGTTTGTGTCTGTTATTCAATCTTGAATCACTGTATGAATGTGAGTTCTGACACTAAAAGACATATTAGTTATTTTTCCTAATATTCTAAGGAAAAGAAAAATTACTAATAAAACAGTCTTTCCAGATTACAATATGTTCTTAGTCAGAAAGTTTTACGTGTATCCTTTAGATAAATATAAATTTATGGGAAGCTATTATTGAAACACTTTACCCAAGAGCCTACTAAATAAATGGGTATGTAAGAACTCGCATATCCTGCCAGCTTTCACCTAATTTTAATTTAGTAACCCCTACAAATCATACCTGAAAAAATTACTACTTTTAGTCTCCTCTCTTGCAAGACTATAAGTCTTCTCTCCAGTCCCAGACCCAGGAGACCCTTTGGCCCTTTCTAGTCCCTCTTTATCAGTTCTGGGCCTGTTTTTTCTCCCTTCATAGGAACCAACTTCCTCCTCCATGGTCTATGGATGCTCATGGCAAAAGAAACAGCCACCTTTCTCCCTGCACTGGTGTGCAAATCAGAGCAGCTTCTATTATAGGAAAAGATTACCTGTGCTCTGTAACTATGAAACAAAACACTGAATCTGTCAGTATGCTTTATTTTCTTGGCCAAATACAGAATTATATGAGCTCAATAAAGGCAGGTTCATCATTGTACCTCTGTTTCTATGTATAGGAATTTTTATAAGTATTCAGGAAAGTGATTCTCAGAAATTACTTAGCTATATTTTTACTGTTGACTCAATCACCTTGTCAGAAACTTTATTAGTAAGTTGTGCATCATTATGAATCATTTCAGAGCAAATGACTTGAAAGCTTGCAAAAACATTAAATGGGGTCTTATAAGAGAAACATAAGACATTTCTATCTCTATCTATTGTCCTGCATTTATTTTATTGCATATTTACTTTAATCCATACGAAGTTCAGAGATTTAGAGTTCTGTAGCAGAGGTCCATGCTATAAATTACAATACCAATGCAAACATCCCTGCTACTCAAGTTGGAAATCAGGAAAACAATGTTCAATGCACTAATTATATATAATGTGAAGATCACATTTCTTCATATGGAACCCAAACAACTACAAACTGGTTATGATATCTTCCTGCGTATCAGAATCATCAAAAAGCAACAAACTAATACCAAAATTTTGCTAATGAAACTAAATTATTTAAGAATACTTACAGAGCAACAAAGAAATTGAGTCTGGTGTGCTCATCTATTGTGAAGTTAGCCCTCTTGAAGTAAACGAACGTCATTGCCAAAAGATACTGTTGTAAAATGTGAAATTTTACATTCATTAGTAAGCATTAATACTTTATTTCAATATAACACTACAGAAAACTCTTAGAATGTTTGTCTCGCACCAAAATGCTGTGTTGTGTCTTATCAACGAGGAAAGCATAAATTGAGTTTTCTCAAAGCTTCCATAAAGATGTATTAGGAAAAAAATACAACCGGTATTCTTATCATAGTATCAAGTGATTAGCAGCAGATTTTCACTCAAGATAGATTGCACTACAAACGTTTACCTTGTCTGCAATTTTACAGCAACAGTCCATCCATAGGAAGTCTTGAATTAGATCATCATCTACAACAATAAAACACGTTTAACCTAAGGCATGGCTGTTAGCATCTGTATCAACAGCATCCCAAAATTATCACTGAGTTTAGAAAACAGACTTCCTGAAGAGTTTTCTACACTTCAGTCGATTGGTATCTGACAGTGACCTACCAAAGAGTTTAAAGAAAGCTGTCATTTCCTGGCGCTGAATAACAAGGCACGGAGCCTTTGGGTGTCCGTAGGTACCATTCGGAACCCTTTTCTCACAGCTGTCGCGGCAGTTTCTGGAAGAACACCGCTTCGGCCTGACCAGCTTTTTGTGCTGCTGGGGTCTGGAGGCACTCGGCTTTGGGTGGGCAGCAGGAGGCGTGTGGCACACCAGGCTGTGTCTCATCGTGGCAAGCCAAGGTTCCTGCAGGGAAGGACTCGGTTAACTGGAGGAACGGCACGCCGAGCGGTGCTGCCCTGTGCTTTGTTCAAACCAAGCGCCTGCAGCGGAGCTGCCCTGCCCGCCGATACTGAGACGAGCTGTATGACCGCTGAGCTGGGCAGCTGGCTTTCCTTTAGCTCGCTTGTATCCATAAACGCGAGGATACCACGAGAAGCGTGAGGAAAGCTGTTTTTCAGCGGGGGAAAGCGACTTTACTCCTTCAGCAGGGCCTACGCAGAGGGGAGGCTGGCCGAGGCAGGCTCACAGCAGCCCGCCGGCTCTTACTCAGCCGTCACACTTACGATAAAGCTCCTCACGAGAGCCGGCAATGACATTCGCCTCCCGCCAACGAGCGCTTTCGAGACACCGACCGCCTCTCGCAACGACCCGCCCGCTCCTCAGCGAACCGCCTTTCACGCCACGCCCCAGCGCGAGACGGCGTCCTTAGCAGCCAATCGGAGCGCGGGAGGCTGCCGCTTCAGCCAATCGGGCTGCGAGGCGTTCTTAACTCCCCCACCCGCCGGCCGCCCTGAGTTACGGCGCTCCGGCGGAGCCCGCCCCAGCCAATCAGACGAGAGCACGGCTGTTGCTAGGCAGGCGGCGGTTGGGCTGCGGTAAGATGGCGCTGTCTCGCAGCGCTGTGTGGTGCTGTGGCTCTGCCCTCTCTAATAAGCTGTACCCCATGTAATAAGCTATTCTGAAACCTGGCCCAGCTTTAACGTTGCCAGCTGTCTAGCAACGTTGTAAAAGCTTCCCTCTGTTTCAACACGACACCTTTAGCTAAAGAAACACAATAATGAAAAGACACAAGTAGGCTTATCAAACATCAAAAGAAGGCAAAAGAGGCCAAATTGTCTCAGGAGTAGACTGGGATGCAACAGGCAGATGTCCAGATACTCCCCTCCGTCCTGCTTTTCCAGCACTTCAATATAATTTATCTCTATCCAAGGACAAGCAGATGTTCAGAGCAACCGAGTGCTGACTGAGCAAATGTTATGATTTTGGTAGCTATAAATTAGTAATAATAGACGTTCTTCTACTGAGCATGCATCAGTGGAGAACGGTCAGCTAGAGAGGAAGACCACTGGATGAAGTAAAAGGCGTCAGTTGGACTGTCACGATGCTAAAAGATGCTAAATAATAGAAAAGACCATGGAATAGAAGACTGGAAACTTCATAAATCACTACCCGAGATAGACATGACACGTGTATGATAATTATCCCATGGGTAACTGATGAATATGTGCTATCTGTGGTAATATTGACTCTGAGTCATGTAATCTTTGAAGTGCTTATGGTGGAAATATCCCAGTGCTTCCCAGCACCTCTGATAAAGAATTCCTGACCTAGGGTAACAAAACTTTGCTGTTAGGTTTCTGTGCATTCATCTCTTTGATTCAATACTCAGGGAAGGGTTGTGTCAAGTTTCTGACCATGTTCTCTAAAAAGGGAGAAATATATCAAGTGGTAAATGTACAGACAAACAGTGTCGTTATGGAATAGGTTGAAATCAGGAAACATGGCAGTGGGGAGGAGATAATGTCAGATAATCAGCTGGGCAAACATTTGTCTGTGAGGTTCTTGCTTCATATAAATGTGGAGGTGAGTTATGGTGCTGAAAGGGCCAAGTGTCTCCAGTAAGAGGCAGAGGAAAGCCCAACAAGGAAGGTAATTGTCATTACAGCATGTTATAGATCACCCAGTCAGGACAAAGAAGCAGACCAAGTGTTCTAAAAGCAGCTAGAAGTGTCACAATTGCTAGTGAGACTTTAGCTTTACAGCTGTCTGCTGGAAATACAATGCAGCAGAGAAGAAACAGACCAGGAGCCAGTTTTAACATTTTTGCCAATAATCTGGACAAGGTGATTGAGTGCACCCTCAATAAATTTGCAAATATCAAGTTGGGTGGGACTCTTGATCTGCCTGAGGGCAGGAAGGCTCTGCAGAGGAATCTGGGTAAGCTAGTCATAGATATCACATCCAATCACATATCATTCAACAAGGCTAAAGGCCAGCTGATACACTTGGGTCATAACAACCCCAGGCAATAATAACAGTCTTGGGGAAAAGTGACTGAATGACTGCACAGCAGAAAGAACCTCAGGGTGCTGATGGACAGCCAACTGAACGTGAGCCATCAGTGTGCACAGGTGGCTCCTGGCTTGCATCAGAAATAGCGTGGCCAACAGGACAAGGGGAGTGGCTGTCCCTCTGTGCTCAACACTGGCGAAGCCACAACTTGAGTACCATGTTCAGTTTGAGCCCATCTCTACAAGAAAGACATTAAGTTGCTGGAATGCATTCAGAGAAAAGCAACAAAGCTGGTGAAGGATCTAGAAAATGAGATGTGAGGACCAACTGAGGGAACTGGGGCAGTTCAGACCGAATTCTTCAACAAAGAATTCTTCAGCCTTCAGAGAAGGCTGAGGGGAGACCTTCTTTCTTTCTACAACTGCCTGAAAGGAGGTCACAGTGAGGTCTGGTCTCTTTTCTCAGGTGACACATGATAGGATTGAGGCAATGGCCTAAAGGTGCACCAGGAAAGGTTTAGATTGGATATCAGGAAGAATTTATTTACAGAGAGGGTGGTCAAGCATTGGAGAAAGCTGCCTGGGGAAGTGGTAGAGTTGCTGTCTCTGGAGGTAAAGAGATGTAGATGTAGCACCTAGGACATAGTTTAGTAGTGATTGATGGTTGGACTTGATGATCTTAATGGTCTTTCCAACCTAAACGATTCTATGATTTTTTGTGTGTTCAGGCTGTGTCACCTGCAATAAA